TCCCGAGTCTCTCTCAATAAGAATAGATGCGACAATTCTATTCTACTAACATCAACGGCTAACCTAAAAGCATTCCTCTCTACTCTTTTTATATTTGTCGAGTAAGATGAATCTACTAGGTCCTTGATACGAGCACCTCTCGTATATTCACCAAATCTCCACTTTCCATATTTAAGCTTATCTTCCATTAAACTCATATGCCACGTCATCTTCTACTTCACGCTTCTTCCAAATTCTTCTCTTCACATATTTGAATAAAACCTCATGCCACGTCATCCTCTACTTTATGTTTCTTTGAACTGTGTAACACATGAATAAAAACACTCAACACCGTCGGAAAGAATATGAAAGGGAAGCTGGACCTCGGTTTCTAATAGACTTGGGCCTATTAATTAGTTACACAAAATTTTGAAACACCTTCATGAAATTTTTATTAGTACTCTAGATATTATCATTGTTAAATTTTATTTAAGTTGTCAAAACCAAGTAGGACGATCTGAGGTGTGATGTGATCGAACGGACGATTTTAAACCGGAGATTCTCTTAAAAATATATTAATATTGCATGGTGATAAGCCTTACGTGGAATTGAATCAATAACCTTAACTCCTAATATCACGGAGCCAAAATAAGAACAATTAGACCGGAGATTATTACAATTAACAACTACTCCGTAATTAACACAAACAAAACTGGTATTAAGACAGAGAAGAGATTGAGAGAGAAGAGGCATGTTTGTCGGAATGAAGACAGACCAAATCTCTAATCTCCCTTTTTCTCCTTCTTCCTCTCATCATTTTCTTACTAAATGCCCAAAAATTCTCTCTTTCTTCCCTTAATCTCTTCCTCTAAGGTACTAATCTGTTAACTAAATCTGTCAAATTTAGCATTACTTGTTTCTTGTTAGCCATCTAACCAACATAATAAGACAAGAACATTATGTCCAAATTGATGATCTATGATCTGTTTTTCTATGTTTGTTGTTTCTCAGACAAATTGAATGATTAAGGGAGAGAAGACGGAGATTTTCTATTTCTGAGGTTAAT